TTTCGCCCCGCGGGGGCGAATGCTGGGAAAAGCTCGGGACGTTGACGCCTCGGGACCAGGACGTGATTGGCGTGTCGCCCGGCAGCGTGGTTGGCCAGAACTAGCGAGCGAAATCCGCCGATCCAGCGTGTGTACTACAAGGAGCCTCAGTAAGAGTTCAGCTCTGACCAAGAGTTTCAGCTCTGCTTGGGGGTTCGCCGGGGTGGCTCTGCCGGGGGGAGGAGGGGGCGGTCCCCCTTTTCTGGCGTTTTCCAAATGATACGCGCATCCCCCAAATGTTTCGGGGGGTCCCAAGGACCCCCTTGAGATCCAGCCGCTACCGCCCCAAGGACCCTCCCCTCGGAACCCTCCCCAGCCCCCCCCCGGGGACCGCAGCAGGCACCCCCCCAGTCAGCTCCAAAAAGCGCCCCCGACGACTCCAAGAGCGCCCTCCCTCACAAACAGTTCACGTCAGCTCCAAAAAACGTCCCCGACGACCCAAAGAGAACACCTCCGCCACCATCCCCGCCACCACGACCATCATCATCACCATCATCACCATCACCATTATCATCATCATCATCACCATCATCATCATCACCATCATCATCACCACTGTCACCACCAACATCATCATAGTCGCAATCGTAACCGTCATCGTCATCGTCATCATCACAACCAGCGAGGACGGAGAGGAGAGCGAGCACGCGAAGCAAAGGGGTCAGCGGTAGCAGAGGATAACGAGAACAAGGGAGAAGAAAGAGGACCGGAACAATCGAGGAAGGAGGAGGCCACAGAGCCGCGAAGATCGCCGAATCTGGAGCCCCCCGGATCGGCGGCACTGGCCGGAGGCCATTACAATAACAATGTTTTACCGTATTGGGTGTCCGCCTGCTCCGTTGAGGAAAAGAAAAGGGAAACGGGTCACTCTTGAAATTGGATTGCGACACAAGTATGTTGGGATCTGAGTGCCCAAGCGCTCGATGTCTTGAGTTTTTGTTCCAATCCAGGGTCGCCAGGGGGTCCGACCCTTTCACCAGGGCAGGCATTTTATCCCGAGTCCAGGGGTTCCGACCCTTTCACCAGGGCAGGCATTTTATCCCGAGTCGCTTTTGAAGTTCCTGGGGCCCCACAAGAGCTCCCAAAGGCTGAAAACTTACAAAAAAAACCTCCCGTCCTGCTGTATGTTCACGACGCGGGCAGGTCTGGGAATGCAGAGACCGATGGGCACTCTGGATCAGCAGACGCTGCCACAAGAGAGCGGCGCCAGGCTGAGACGCGGCGGGTTCGTGCCGTGACGACCCCAGCGTCGGTTTCCGACCGCCAGATCGTTCACATCGACCGGCTTTTCTGGGCCACCAGCGGCGAATGAACCTTGAACGCCTGCGCTGCGGCCGCAGCCGCGTCGACACGACACGAACCTGCCGTACACCCAGCGACCCGTCCTCCCCATCCTCCTCCTCCGCCTCCTCCTCCTCCTCCTCCTCCTCCTCCTCTTACTCCTCGTCCTCCTCCTCCGCCTCCTGATGGGGGCTCTGGAGCAGCAGCAGCAGCCAAAGAAAGGAATGGTGCCGGGCTGAGCCGCCGGCGCAGATTCAGCTCGCGCAGCTCCGCCAGCTTCGCGTAGCTGTCTGCCTGCAGAGGTGGCGGAGGAGCGAGGAGGAACGAGGAGGAAAGAGGAGGAGGAGGAGGAGGAGGAGGAGGAGGAGGAGGAGGAGGAGGAAAAGGGGCACGGAAACGGGGAGGGCGAGGAGGAGGGGGAGGGGAACCTCCGCCTCCTCTCGTCGTGACACATCACGGCGGCCGGCTCTTGGCTGTCCTCTGCCCCAGGGGGCCCTTGCTGGGCCGGGGGGCCATCAAAAAACGACCTGGGATGGCAAACGGGCCCTGGGGAAATGGTCGGTACTTCTGGGGGGCCCTGTAAAGAAAAAACGAAACATCGCATGTCTGGAAAGGGGGAGAGCGAGGAGGAGAGGGGGGGCAAGGAGGACGAGGGAAAGTGAGCAGAGACAGCATGGGTGGCCTGAGGGGGGGCAGGGGGAGGAGGAGGATGAAGGTGAATAAGGGGGGGGAATGAGAGAACGCGGGTGGGGGCGGGGAGGAGGCAGGAGGATGACGAGAGGATGGGCGATGAACGCTGGGTCCGAAGGGAGCGAGGGAAAGGAGGAGGATTAGGGGGAGAGGGAGAAACGGGAGAAGCGGGAGGGCAAGAAGGAAGGGTGAAGGGGAGGGAACGAGGAGAGGGGGATGAAGAGGGCAAGGCGAACGTGATGAGGAGGAGGAGAGGAGGACGAGGAGGAAAGGGATGAGAAACAGGAGGGGGATGAGGGGGAAGGGGAGGACACGTGGTGGAGGGGGGGGGGGGCGAGCGAGGGGGGACGGGGCGAGGAAGAGAGAGCTGAATACATGGTAGGGATGTGACAGAATCTTGCGGGAAGGGAAAAGGGTGTGAGGGAAAGGGGAAGGCGCAGGAGGGCCGTGCCTCTTTTCTGACTGACTTGAGCAGCTCAAAGACGGAGTT